CGTCATGTCAACAAATATTGATTCTTCTAATACATCGATCTGTAGCCGATCGATGGTGTCTTGTCTTCGCTCTGATGGAGCCGATAGTTTTCACATAGAGCGTTCCCGTCTCGCTTGCTAGTTGATACGATTACAGGAAATCAATTGTTTGTTTTGTGTTTTCAATGGGCTCGTCCTTCCACGAACAAATTTTTATTAAAATATAAATATGTTATGGTAGTATAACGCCTACGATGCCTTAACCAAAGTGATTTAGCCAGATGATAATTACGGAAAAAATATAAATATATGATATTGTAGTATAACGCTCACTGTTCCGCGAACAAATTATTACTAAAATATAAATATTATATAGTAGTATAACGCCTACGATGGTTTACCAAAGTGATTTAGTCTGCAGATAATCCCATGTAAAACTAGTTCACATGATAGGCTATGTGGCTAGGTGTTGGTGGTACAGTTAGGACAGATTTAGTTTTGTTTTCTTTGACTTATGACAGGTACAAATTAGAGCTGGGTACATTTTTTTCCTCTTAATTCTATTGTTAGAAGGGATTTCTTACAACGCAATTTAAGCATTACATGCGCCATATAGGCCGTTGACTCCGATTTCAGTCTGCTTTTCTTTTTTGATTTGCTTCCATAGCCTTTGTCCAACCAAGAACAAACTATAAGCTAGTAATTGTTTGATTTTGGAGTTGTCTGCACTAGAAGATTTGCTGTCCCCATCTATCGAGCCTCATCTGCCCGAGGATTTGAACTCGGCACCTTTCGGCTTAGCAGCCTTGAGCTGACCCGACCACTTAGAGCTCAGTAAAATTCTATAGGTTCAAGTCTAGAAACGAGAGTCCAGCTCTTGATTTAGCAAACCATACAAACCATACAGTACCCTGACCGCAGTAGAAAAAAACAACACCAACGCCATTAAGATATGAAGCACTAGAAATGTATCGACCGAGTTACAATACCCCAAAACCCAACAACAAACAAATATGGGACGAAAAATCATACCGGGGCTTGAAAGAGGCTTGATGTACTCGAAACAAAAAAGGCTTAGTGTACTGGAAAAAGGAAGCTTAGTGTAGAAAAAAGAGGCTTAGTGTACTAGAAAAAGACTTAGTGTACTAGAAAAAGACTTAGTGTACTAGAAAGAAGAGGCTTTGTGTACTAGAAAGAAGAGGCTTTGTGTACTAGAAAGAAGAGGCTTTGTGTACTAGAAAGAAGAGGCTTTGTGTACTAGAAAGAAGAGGCTTTGTGTACTAGAAAGAAGAGGCTTTGTGTACTAGAAAGAAGAGGCTTTGTGTACTAGAAAGAAGAGGCTTTGTGTACTAGAAAGAAGAGGCTTTGTGTACTAGAAAAAGACTTAGTGTACTAGAAAAAAAGAGGCTCAGTGTACTAAAAAAGACTGTGTACTAGAAAGAAGAGGCTTTGTGTACTAAAAAAAGACTGTGTACTAGAAAGAAGAGGCTTGGTGTGCAAGAAAAAAGGCTTAGTGTAGTTGAAAAAAGAGGCTTAGTGTACTAGAAATTGTGTTGTTTCAGAGTTAAATTTATGAAACTGTCCACAATACCACCAGATAAAAAATTGTGCAGTCAAATTTAAAAATGAATCGGTTGTCCTGATTAGCGGAGCATTTTTTCCCCTGGGTGTCGTATGTCAATGTCGTCCGCAAGAGGTGGGTCAGATGACGTGTGTGGGTGTAGTCTGGGCGAGACAGTGCTGGGCAGGGAATAGAGCTGAGGCAGCAGATTATACACAGTGTGGTAGTGTCATCGACGTTGATTAAGTGTGTAAGATCTGGTATCCGCGACCTCCCATAGCTTATCTAGTTTGTAAGATCTAATATATGTGACGTCCCATAGTTTAGCTCGGATGAATGATTTAGTATGTGTGTCGTCCCATTGCTTATCTAGTGTGTAATCTAGTATATGTGTCGTCCCATTGCTTATTAATCTAGTATATGTGATGTCATATAGTTCATATAATGTGTAGGATTTAATGTGTGTGTGATGTCACATAGCTTATCAAATGTATAAGGTCTAGCATGTGTGGTTGTGGGGTCCCATAGCATCATCTGTGTGTAAGATGTAGTATATGTGGCCACATAGCTTAACTAATATTTAGCCTAGTTGTGTCGTTATAAAGCTAATTATGGGTGCAATTTTATAATAAAATTTAGCCTGTAAAAAATAATTTTCAGATATTCAGATCAGGTCACCAACAGCCTCACATTTTTCACCAATTACAACAACCTAACACGCAATCGGATTTTAAAAAAACCAAAACGGAAATTTCCAAAGGCAACGAAACATTCTCTAATGCATGCAACTTGTATAATTTAGTATAAAGTATAAAATAATGTATTGTATCAGATAAATGACCAATATGTTTTTTTTTTATAGAAGAGATCCTCTTAACGTAATCCCAGTCTAAATAAACAAGCTAAAATTATGTGTAAGTAGCGTATGAGGTTTTAAAAAAAACAACAAAAAAACACAGGTTTGTCTTTCTTTATAAACTAACCGGCTGAGGCAGTGTCTCCCATTAGCCAGGCGGGCCTCAACAATGACAGGCCTATATTCAAAGTTACCAGATGTAATAATAATAATAAAAAGTATACATAGGTCGACTAGGATGCCTCCATCGGGTCATGTAGACAGAACTCGCCATTTTTCTAGTGGTACTTCAAGAAATCAAGCCTACCTAGATAGCCAGGGGAGTCAACCCAACACCACTCAATAAGGGAGAAAACCCAACCTTGCCGACGAAGGGCAAAGACAGGGGAGATCAATACCGACATTTGCTTGCTGCTATTTTTAGACTCGGTATTTTGTTCTAACGAAGCAGCTCGAAAATTGTTTCCCCATTACCGTGTTACATTCTGTATTACAGATAAAAAATGTAATGGCTTTCAAACACACCAGAAAATCTAATTGGTAATTTTTAAAACAAGATCAGTGCTAGATGGGAACTCTGTGATTGGAGTAATCACAGCCTACAACAGGATTCGATACACGAGTCGAATCCAGCCCCCAGGCTTTACTTATCTAGCGCATCCTTCCGACTACAACTTAAGTTTTGTATGAGTACAGCTAGATATCGGTATAGTCCTGGGACTGCCCAGATGCTGGTTATAAAATGTAGGTGTACATAATATACTACTGGCTAAAATATAAACACAGAAGGGGGGAGGAGGGGGTATACACACAAGTACACATTTATCATGTCTGATAGCTGTATATAGAAACATTCAACAAACATCTTAGTTAAACGTTTACTTAATTTTTTTTTAATTTTCTAACTAAAAATATAATGTGTTTTACCCTAGCAGGCAAAGTGAAGAAAAAAAAATAAAATACATGGTAGTGAAGTCTTGACTATGGTTCACATTGTAAAACTGGGCTGCACAATTTATATTATGCTGTAACATTGAGGCTGTTGGTGCAATCTCGTAAGGAGTAAGATCTACCACTAAACTTTGAAAAATAACCAAATCAATGCACGAGCCTCCAATTATTGGTGTTGGGACGCAAAACGTAAGGACACAGATCAATAATCAATCACTGGTCTGAATGGCGAGTAATCTAGTGTTAGCGCGCGCTTAAGTTCAATACATTATTAAACTAGCCGGGGGTACCAGCGTTCACGCTATGAAGTTGTTTTCTTTTTTGTTAGATTGTTATGATAAAAACCACATCAGCTTGTGATCACAGCAAGTTTCTCTAAGCTTAAAGAGTTGAATGATTTGGTTCATGGGTTTGAACGGGACTCAAGGCTGCTGGAAGGCTTTAGGTCCACCCATTATTGATTGACGCATGATGTATGATTGGAAATTTGAAGAAATGAGCCTTAGCATCGCCTAGCCATCACGATACAACACACACACGATACATTCACATACATTCACATACAGTGCTTAAAGAAATAGGTGGTCTTTGATTATCTAACCTATTGACCTGAGTTCTTAACTTAATAAAAAACTAATGTTGCGTAATATATATATATATATATATGTATATATATATATGTATATATATATATATATATATATATATATATATATATATATATATATATATATATATATATATATATATATATATATATATATATATATATAACCAATAACCCTAATACAAACGTGTATTGTTAACATTTCTTAATAAGCCGGATAATGGACACATTTTTAAATCTTTATTTGAGAGCCATACTAAAAGTTCTATTTTTAGTCTCTTCTAATTTTAACTCCCCTCCTATTTGTTTACCAATAACAAGATTTTTACAAGTGATGAAAAGAGACGCATTGCTTCGCCCAGTGAGCCGCTATCTTGAGCTATATCTGTCTATAGCTGATTTTTAACAATAATTGAAGCTAAACTTAATGAGAAGTATCGATGTGAATGATGAAAACCTATGCATGAATGAGTGTTACCTTAAAGCGGAGAAGGTCGTAGATTGAATCAGAACAGGATCGAAATCGTACCGTGTATTTTTTCCTGCCAGTATCGGTATTATAATTAAGGTTGAGAATACAATGAAGATATTGGTAGGGTAAGGGTTAAGATCGGAATTAGAACTAGGGCTGAGGCCAGGGTTAGAGTTACGGCAGCGATGCCAGAAAAAAAAAATACCGCTTCGACAACACCCTACCGACGTTTTAACACGTATTTTTATTCTAACCGTTTTAGTAAGTTTTACTGTTTCTTTCAGGCAACGTCCCAACCCCCTACTACCAGAACAAAATATAATTTATATTCAAATATACACTTCAACTGGTGTCCACCACCCCCGGGAATCCCACACACCCCGGAAATTTTCCATCCCCCGGAAATTTAAGTCCGCTCCCCCTTCCTGATTGATTCAATTGCTCCTGCCAAAGTGAAGAAAACTATCCGAAAAAAAAACACCCACTCCATCACCACATAGCTCTGTATGCGACTACACCTCCCCCCCCCCCCCACACCCCTCTATTACACAGACTCACGCGAAAGAGCACTCACCTTTGAAGACGCTGATGTTGAGGTTGCTCGTGTCCAAGTTGGACACATACCTGCCCACGTACTTGTTCAGTAGGTCAGCTACAAGCCCTTCAAGCATGGCTGCACGGTTGTGTCTTCCACGTCACTACAAGGTCATGGCCGTCCAGCGGGAATACCCTGAAACAAAAATAAAACACATTGGAGATCATGTGTTGGTTTACGACCGTGGGAATTCGGGATCATTAAACTAATGTGTGAGCAGGCTCATCGCACTAATGAAGTGATGTAACACGCTGGGTGGTCGTAGGATTGGTTACCATTAAAGCGTGGATGTAGACACACATTTTCGGCCTAGACATTAGCAGGTACATACGTTTGAAGCAGAAATAGCGTTACTGTTGTTACTGAAATAACAATATTGGTGATACATATTTGTTTTTTTTCAACGCTAAATGTAAAAAAAAGTAAAGTTCCCTTTTTGTACATGTCGGTCCATGGAGCAAGTGAAGTAGACTTCAAGGACTATTGTGCTCTACGCGTCTGTAATTGGCGTAGGAATAAATGTATATCCAGTAATGCTATTTTGTATCCAGAGATTTTTTTCTGAGGCACCGTAATACAGGCAAAAAGAGAGAGAGAGAGAGAAAGATAGTAGAAAAGCAAAAATTAAGGTGTCTCAAGAGGTCTCTACTGACCCCACTCAAGCTTTACCACACTGATTACAAGAAACCAACTGTGAGTCTGATCACACAGGCCACGTTAACGCTGCGAGTGATCACACAGGCCACGTTAACGCTGCGAATGATCACACAGACCATGTTAACGCTGCGAATGATCACACAGGCCATGTTAACGCTGTGAGTGATCACACAGACCATGTTAACACTGCGAGTGATCACACAGACCATGTTAACGCTGCGAGTGATCACACAGGCCATGTTAACACTGCGAGTGATCACACAGACCATGTTAACGCTGCGAGTGATCACACAGACCATGTTAACACTGCGAGTGATCACACAGACCATGTTAACGCTGCGAGTGATCACACAGACCATGTTAACACTGCGAGTGATCACACAGACCATGTTAACGCTGCGAGTGATCACACAGGCCATGTTAACGCTGCGAGTGATCACACAGACCATGTTAACACTGCGAGTGATCACACAGACCATGTTAACACTGCGAGTGATCACACAGACCATGTTAACACTGCGAGTGATCACACAGACCATGTTAACACTGCGAGTGATCACACAGACCATGTTAACGCTGCGAGTGATCACACAGACCATGTTAACGCTGCGAGTGATCACACAGACCATGTTAACGCTGCGAGTATTTGTATTGGGTTTAGTCGGAGCAGACATGGGGAAATGGACTAGACATAACAACATTGGTTAGATATAGGAAGAAAACCTTGATATCAACAACTTGCCAAAAACCTGCTACCCACATATGCTCAAAAAAACCTACTGCCCACAACTGCCAAAAACCTGCTGCCTCAAACTGCTAAAAAAACTGCGGCCCACAGCTGCCAAAAAACGAGTTGCCCAAAAACCTGCTGCCCCTAACTGCCCAAAAATCTCCTGCCCCTAACTGCTCAAGAAACCTGCTGCCCACAACTGCCCTAAAATCTCCTGCCCCTAACTGCTCAAGAAACATGCTGCGGCTAACTGCCCAAAAATCTCCTGCCCCTAACTGCTCAAGAAACATGCTGCCCCTAACTGCCCAAAAATCTCCTGCCCCTAACTGCTCAAGAAACATGCTGCCCCTAACTGCCCAAAAATCTCCTGCCCCTAACTGCTCAAGAAACCTGCTGCCCACAACTGCCCTAAAACCTGCTGCCCCTAACTGCCCAAAAATCTCCTGCCCCTAACTGCTCAAGAAACATGCTGCCCCTAACTGCCCAAAAATCTCCTGCCCCTAACTGCTCAAGAAACCTGCTGCCCACAACTGCCCTAAAACCTGCTGCCCCTAACTGCCCAAAAACCTCCTGCCACTAACTGCTCAAGAAACCTGCTGCCCAGAACTGTCCAAAAATCTCCTGCCCCTAGCTGCTCAAGAAACCTGCTGCCTATCTCCCCCCAGCCCAGACGTCCGGCTCTAACAGCCATACCAAAGTCCGTCCCTGTCCAGGCACAGACAGACTGATCCTCTATCGATTGATCACGATGACCGCCATTCACGAGAGCCGGTCTTGTGAAATCTCACATTGCCGGGGAGAGGAAAAACAGCGTTGACATTGATATAAGAAATCACACTTCAGCGCTATAAAGGGGCCGTGTGGCACGCCCAGTATTGACGGGAGATCTAGGTCTAGATTCAGGGCCAACAATTCATCGTGGGTCCGTAGGATTCAAGGGAGATAAGCGCAGTGTCTGGGAATAGGGCCAATAAGTCAACATGGCTCATTTTGTATGAAACATGGCTCATTATATAGCGTGGCTCAGTGTCTTTGAATATGACGACATGTTATAATGACCCAGTGTCCAGAAATAGGACCAAAATGTTAAAATGGCCCAGTCCAGGGTCCTGAAATAGGACCAGTGTGTTAAAATGGCCTAGTGTCTGGAAATAGGGCCAATAAGTTAAAATGGCCCAATGGAATAAGCCCAACATATTAACATGGTCATTGTCCAGAAATAGGGCCAAGGAGTCAAAGTTAGAAATCAGGGCTATAAAGGACAGCGATGCTCTGTAGCTTGGACTCAGAGCCATAAATTCTACACTAGCTCCGATGCTTTTGATTCGGACCAAAAAAAGTGTAGCTCCAAATAGAGGCCAAAAACAGCCAGCTTGTTATAGATAAATAAACAGCCCCCTACTCTCTGTAGAATAGGCAGTGTACTAATTGTCCGACACTAGAAGAATTTTTTATTGAAATGCCGGCAGATGTCTGTTTTAAAAAAGGCCGGCGTTGGGAAATGTCTGATAGGAGATACCAGTAAAATCGGTTGCCTATCAAGAAAATGTTGGAAACAGGAGAAATGTCTGAGTAGAAAATTACTTGATGTAGGGAAAACAATTCCAACCATTCTAGAGGCGGTTGTGAATTATTTCAACACAAATCATGTTTTTGCATCATGTCTACTTACAAATTATGTTTCTAGCATATGCATGATGACATCGCTTTCTTACTTTATCATCATGTTTTTAAAAGCAAAGTTTCTCATTTTAAAACTCGTTTTTTACACAAAAATCGTGTTTTCTACACCAAAAAATTGTTTTTTTTTATATACATCATGCTTCTTGTTTGTTTTTAATAATATGATGTTTTATTTTTTCACATTGTTTGAAAATTCTTACAAACGTCATGTTTTCTTACCCACAAATTATGTTATTTTAAGCTCTAGCTTTCGCTAAAGGGTTAAGGATAACAGCTTACACTATTTTAGCAGATCCCACTCCCTCCCCACACCTCCATCTTAACACGCCAGACCCAAAAGCCAGTATAAAAAAACCTCAGTATAACTTAGTCAGATTTGTCCTAAATGAACCTTAATACTAATCTCAAAGCAAGACTTTTTCAGCAATTTAAGCTTACCAGACATATTTTTTAAAAGTATTAAAGTATTCGTTATATTTTTTTTTCTAAACCATCCATTCAAACTATCAAGTCGTCACGAACATTTGAACTTTACCCCTCCACAAGAGAAGTCTGAATCCGTTTAATTACAACTCGTAAACTTAACGCAACGACATTAAGCTTTAAATTTATTTTTAAAACTTTGCCAGAAAAGCATTTCGGAGTTAATCGCATTAGAAAAATAAATAAAAAATCATAATAACGGATTATAAAGTTTTAAAAAAAATGAAGAATGAAGTCATTTGATGTTTTGAAAACAAGCAAACCTCAGGCTCCGTTTTACCCAGGGAATCTTTCTTGTTGTTTTATCCGTGAGTAGATGAAGAGTTTGAGCAGAAGCGACAAGAGTTGAGGTATTGATCGCTGATCAAAGTGAACTTTGACATTTCATAGACTGCCGGCGACAGGAAGGTAATCGTCAGGATGGGCACACGCAGACGACAGCTCGTGTAATCAAAGAGACGAACCAATTGTGGCGAGGGCGGGGAATGTGTGGTTAACACATTTGTGCATGACAAGAATTATTGTACCTCTCATTCATTAGGTAATTATTTTCTATATTTAGATGTAGGTTTTGTGCATTATGTATTCAACGTCATTTATTGCTGGTTTTACAAGCCTTTATTTAACTTGTTTCCTCGTCCAGTCTATCAGTCATCTGTCGTCATAGATCGAAACGCTCGATCGAAGTTTCGGGCACTTCTAACCATTTTATTATTTTTAAAATTATTTTCTTTTGTTGTAGAAAAAAAAGCCATCAGAGCGGAGAGTAATGGAAGCGTGGTTCTGTTTTAAAAGGGTCTAGCTTTTAGATTTTAATACCACCGATTTCATTTTAGTGATTTTGCAAAAGAGAAAAATGAAGAAAACCAAAAAAAAAAAAAGATTTTGAAAAATAATGATTTTGATTTTGAATGAGTTTGATCAAGGCGGTGATCGCAAAAATTCTGAACAAAAAATTCTCTAGGCCTGACATTTGTTGGGATTTTAGATATCAGGCTAAAACTGAGCGTGAAAGTTGGTACCGGGTACTGTGATGTGATATAAACATGGCCTTGTGGACATTATGTCTCTGTGATATTAGAAATCCCAGTTCATGTCCTCATTAAACTACCGGCTCCCGGTCTAAAAAATATATCTGCCGGCATCAAGCCTAAAAATATATGCCGGCTCCAGGGCCTTAAATGTTCAGACTCCTGACCCCAAGGTACGTCTGCTTATTCGCACCACCACGTGAATAGTTCGTTTAGGAACTTCAGCTAACTAAACTAATTTTCCTCATTCTCTCCTCCATACTTTGTCATTTAACAGCAGATCAAATTTTTTATTTCACAATATCTACACTTAGACAGAAAGAGTTTAGACGTGCCTAGTAGAAAAAACGTATATTGCCATTTATTTTATGAGTTGTTTACTACATTTTAATGGCAGAAGTGGAAGGTTTTCCTTTAATCAAGCATTTTTACACAAAACTCAAACAACAATGGAAACTGGAAAAATCCAAAGCCCATTATGAGGGGGGGGGAGTGGCACAAAATACTAAGACATTACCTATTGAATTAACGGCGTTTCACTTCCAGCTGAA